TTTTTTTTTTCATTATGAATTGCCGCAACAAGTGTTGTAATTTCCTTCAACCTGTGGGCTGAGACACCCAACAGCAGCAACAATAATGATAACAATAACATCGAACATTTTTCGCCGGCGTTGACGAGTGATGCAGTGACACAGGGAGAGAGTGTGTGACGTGCAGCAGCGCGCAGGTGAGAAGGCAGCGAACAAGACGACAAAACAAAAGCCAGGGATGAGCGTCATACCGAATTAAGAGCGAACGAAGAGGAAAGAGAGCCTTTCTTGTTTTGGAAGCCTCGGCGTAGTGTACACACATGTATATAGATGCGGGCGGCTTGCAGGCGTGGCGCCATTCCTTCTGCGTTTTTTTGNTTGGAAGCCTCGGCGTAGTGTACACACATGTATATAGATGCGGGCGGCTTGCAGGCGTGGCGCCATTCCTTCTGCGTTTTTTTCCCCCACCCCTTCTCTCTCTCTCCCTCTCCTCGTCGCTCATCATCTCTCTCCCTCGCCCGCCCGCACCGCGACGCGGAAACGCACAGCAGCACCATCAGCACACGCACACACACTCCCCTCTCTCCTGTGGTGTGCCTCTGTCCGTCCCTGGCACCCCACCAGCCAATTTATTTGCGTTACTCTTACTCCGCTACTGCTGCGCCTTCTTTTCACCCTTATTGACACCCTGTTTGCCTCTGGCACTTTTCTTTCCTCCTGTTTCGCCCTTGGTCTTTTCCCCCAGCAGCAACGATGCGTCCCCGCCTCAGCGCCCAGTCCCTGCTCAACGCCCCGTAGTGGTGCCAGAGTGACAGCAGCAGCAAGACGGTGGGGAAATGTGCGGCGCAATCGCAACGGGGTGGCGCAGCGGCCCGCCCGAACAAATTAGAACAACAGCCAGACCGCAACACGTTCCTCTCTGGAATGCCCACGCACCTGGGGGCGTTGAGGGGACATGTGAATAAGGCGCGGAGAGCCAAGACACTCGATACAGACAAAGGTGCCTCTCCACCCTCTTGTTTACAAGAAGGAAGTAGCTGTGTGTGTGCGTGTGTGTGACGTTGTGCCCGGTATGAAGCGCGAAGACACGTATTGGATGAAACAGACAGAGACACAGCACTGCATCTCTGCCAGCACCACCAACACCAATAACAACGGATCAAAACAACTCGGAAGCAAGGAAAACAAAAAAGAAAACACGTAAAACCCCTCTGTTTTTCACTGCTCCTTGTTGCGTGGCCGTACCCACCAGTCCGTGTATATATATATATATATACAGGGAGAGGCAGATGCATCCACGCTTCTCTCCTCATTGTCTCGTCCACTCCTCCTCCTCCTCCGCTCTGTGCGTGTGGGGGACACAGCGTCGGCTGGTGCCCGCTGGAGAAAAATAAACAACACAACAAACAACAAAAACCAAAAAGGAAAGCAAAACAAAAAACAAAACAAAAAACAAAACAAAACAAAAAAACAGAACAAAACGTCCTTTCATAGTGGCAGTAGTAGTGGTGGTAGTAGTGGTGGTAGTAGTGGTAGTAGTAGTGGTAGTAGTAGTAGTAGTAGTAGTAGTGGTAGTAGTAGTAGTAGTAGTAGTAGTAGTAATAGTCCACGCAGAAGTTACACATGCCTGGGCGCTACGTGGCTACTGCTAATATTTCTTCAGCACTGTGGGGTCAACATGCTGCGGCACCGTCACGTGCAGACCCTCCACGTGCTTCATCGCCCGCACAATCGCCTCGTGGCCGCACTGGTTGCCGCTCCAGCTGCGGCGCGACACGCCGTTGAGGACGTCCCACATCAGCATGAGTTTGGAGCGCCGCTCCGCATCGGCAGAGCCGTCGAGCATGAGGCAGAAGCCGCCGTTCATCGCCTCGNTCAGCATGAGTTTGGAGCGCCGCTCCGCATCGGCAGAGCCGTCGAGCATGAGGCAGAAGCCGCCGTTCATCGCCTCGCCCCAGCCGGTGCCACCACCGTTGTGGAGCGACACCCACGTCGCGCCGCGGAAGGAGTCGCCAATGACGTTCTGTACCGCCATGTCGGCGGTGAGGGACGAGCCGTCGTAGAGGTCGGACGTCTCACGGAATGGCGAGTCGGTACCGCTCACGTCATGGTGGTCCCGTGAGAGCACCACAGGTCCCTTCAGCCGCCCGTCGCGGATGGCGTCGTTGAAGTTCTTCGCGATACATTGCCGCCCCTCGCAGTCGGCGTAGAGGATGCGGGCCTGCGAGCCAACCACAAGCTTGTTCTCACCGGCCTGATTGATCCAGAGGAGGTTGTCAGATATCTGCCGCTGCGACTTTGGAGCGGCGCTCTGCATCAGCTTTTCCAGCGTCTCCGCAGCGATGCGGTCAGTGAGGGCGAGGTCCTCTGGGAGCCCCGACGCGCACACCCAGCGGAACGGCCCGAAGCCGAGCGCAAAGACGTCGCCCATGATGTCCTGCACGTACGACGGGTAGCGGAAGCGGTTGATGCTGCGCACGGTATCGTTCGCCGACCACACCTCCGCCCCCGCACGGGACGCCTCGAGGAGGAAGCTGTTGCCGTAGTCCCAGAAGCGCAGGCCCCGTGAGGCCAGCTCGTTAATTGCGGTGACCTGACGGCGCAGGGACTCCTGCACGAGCTCCTTGAACTTAGCGGGCTGCTCCACCATCATCTTCTTGCTTTCCTCGAAGGAAATCTGCACTGGGTAGTAGCCGCCGTTGAACGGGTTGTGGCAGCTGGTCTGATCAGAGCCGAGGTGCACAATCTGCTCCTTCTCTTTCACAAGTCGCTCCCAGACGGTGACGACGTTGCCAAGGAAACCGATGCTCACCACCTCCTTTGCGGCGGAAGCCTTGCGAATGCGGGCGAGGAGCGCCTCCACATCTGTCTCCACTTCCATCAGCCACCCCTGCTCCTTTCGCTTGTACAACGCGTTGGGGTCCACCTCTGCCACCACCACGACGGCGCGGCAAATCACACCGGCTTTACCCTGCGCGCCGCTCATGCCACCAAGGCCGCTGGTCAGCACAACTTTTCCTGAAAGATCTTCAACGCCAAGGTACTTACGTCCTGCATTGCGGAACGTAATGGTGGTGCCGTGGACAATACCCTGCGGACCAATATAGCAGAAGGAACCAGCCGTCATCTGCCCGTACTGCGTGCACCCCATGGCATAGAGACGGTCATAGTGCTCTCGGGTGGAGTAGTTGGGCACCATCATGCCATTTGTGATGACGGCACGAGGGGCATCTGGGTGACTTGGATACAGACCCATCGGGTGACCCGAGTACAGCGCCAGTGTCTGATGGTCCGTCATCTCGCTGAGGTACTTCATTGTGAGGCAGTACTGCCCCCAGTTGTTGAACACACCACCGTTACCACCGTATGTAATAAGCTCATGTGGGAACATTGCCACACGGTTATCCAGGTTGTTCATGATCATCAGCATCATTGCCGCCGCGTACTTGGTCTTGGCAGGGTAGCAGCTGATCGGGTAGGCCTTCATTTCGTACTGTGTGGGGCGAAGACGATACATGTAGATGTGACCATAGAGGTCGAGCTCCTTGTTGAACTCCGCCGCGAGTTCCTCATGGTGGGCGGGTTGAAAGTAACGAAGCGCGTTAGCGATGGCCTGTCGGCGTTCCTCCGGTGTGAGCCTCGGGTTGCGCTTCGGCGCGTGTGGGACGCTGTCATCAAGCGCCTTGCACGGAGGCGGCAGCGGCGATGGGATGCCCGCCGTGAGGCACTTGCAGAGTATTTCCTTCATGTCAGTCATGCCAAGTCAATAGCAGGATACAAGAAAAGCCGAAATAACTTTGGTTGCCTTTCTCTTCTTTCCTAGAACTCAAAAAAAAAAA